AAAACTGAAAACTCGGAAAAACGAGAAAGCGGGAAATCGAAAATTTCAGAAATTGAGAAAACGAAACATCGAAAATTTGAAGAATCGAATAACTGAGAAATCCGAAAATCAAAAATTTGAGAAATTGTAAAATCGGGAAATCGAAAATTCGACAAATCAAAAAAAAAACATTGAAAAATCGAAAAGGTGAAGAATCGAAAACTGAAATGTCGGGAAATTGAAAACTCAGACAGTCGAAACTCTGAAAAAGAAATTAACTGAAAAATTGACGAAAATTGAAAAATCGAGAACTCAAGAATTCCAAAAATCAAAAAAATTGAAACTCTGAAAAATCGAAAAACTGAAGAATTGGAAAATCGAGTAATCGAGGAATCGAAAATTGACGACTCAAAAAATCGAAAAATCGAAAACAAGAGAAATCGAAAATTCGAAAAATCTAGACAGCGAGAATTCGAAAAATTGAAACGTTGAAAAATCAAAAACCAAAGAATCGAAGTCGAAAAATCGGAAAGAAGAGAAATCGAAAGTTCGAAAATCGATCAGTCAAATTTTTGAAAAGTCTAAAAAATGAAAAACTGAAAAATTGAAACATTGTAGAATAGAAAACTTGTAAAATCAGAACTTTGATAAATCGAAAAGTCGAAAAATCGAAAAATCTAGAAATTCAAAAACTGAAAAATTAAAGAATTGAAAAATTGAAACGTCAAAAACTGAAGAATTTAAGAGTTGAAAAATCGAAAAATTGACGCGAAAAAGTGAAAAATCGAAACACTGAAGAATTGAAAACTTGAAAAATCAGAACATTGAAAAATCGGAAAATCGCAAAAATGAAAAATCTAAAAGTTGAAAAAGTGAAAAATCGATAAACTAAAGAATTGAACAAGTGAAGAATGGGAAACTCGAAAAATTGAAAAAAAAAGTATTTCGAAAAATCGAAAAATTCTGAAATTGAAAATTCGAAAATCGATCAGTCGAATTTTTGAAAAGTCTAAAAAGTGAAAAACTGAAAAATTGAAACATTGTAGAATAGAAAACTTCTAAAATCAGAACTTTGAGAAATCGAAAAGTCGAAAAATCGAAAAATCTAGAAATTCAAAAACTGAAAAATTAAAGAATTGAAAAATTGAAACGTCGAAAACTGAAGAATTTAAGAGTTGAAAGATCGAAAAATTGACGGGAAAAAATGAAAAATCCAAACATTGAAGAAGTGAAAACTTGAAAAATCGGAAAGTCGCAAAATCGGAAAGTCGCAAAATTGAAAAATCTAAAAGCTGAAAAACTGAAAAATCGATAAACTAAAGAATTGAAAACTTGAAGAATCGGAACTTGAAAAATCTAGAAGTTGAAAAACTAAAAAATTAAAGAACTGAAAAATCGAAAGATAAGAAAACTGAAGAATTTAAGAGTTGAAAAATTGGAAAATCAAAAAACTGAAGCATTTAAGTGTTGAAAAATCGAAAAATTGACGCGAAAACTGAAAAATCAGAACTTTGAAAAATCTAAAAATCTAAAAATTGAAAAACTGAAAAATTGATAAACTAAAGGATTGGAAAATTGAAGCATCCGAAACTCGAAAAATTGAAAAAAAGTATTTCGAAAAATCGAAAAATTCTGAAATTGAAAATTCGAAAATCGATCAGTCGAATTTTTGAAAAGTCTAAAAAGTGAAAAACTGAAAAATTGAAACATTGTAGAATAGAAAACTTCTAAAATCAGAACTTTGAGAAATCGAAAAGTCGAAAAATCGAAAAATCCAAAAATTGAAAAACTGAAAAATTAAAGAACTGAAAAATTAAAAAATCGAAAAACTGGGGAATTTAAGAATTGATAAATCGAAAAATTGACGCGGAAAACTAAAAAATCGAAAATTCAAGAATTGAAATCTTAAAAAATCAGAACATTGAAAAATCGGAAAGTCGCAATATCGAAAAATCGATAATCTAAAAATTGAAAAACTGAAGAATCGCAACTTGAAAAACCTAGAAGTTAAAAAACTAAAAAATTAAAGAACTGAAAAATCGAAAAATCAAAAAACTGAAGAATTTAAGAGTTAAAAAATTGGAAAATCAAAAAACTGAAGCATTTAAGAGTTGAAAGATCGAAAAATTGACGCGGAAAACTGAAAAATTGAAAACTTCAAAAATCGGAAAACTGAAAAATCGAAAAATTCAAAAACCAGAACACATCAACAATCAAAAAGTAGCAAAATGGTAAAATCTAAAATTTGAAAAACTGAAAAATCGAAAAATGAAGAACTGAAGAACTGAAAAACCGAAAAATTGGATCGGAAAACTGAAAAATAGAAAAATTGAAGAATCGAAAATTGAAAATCGAAACTTGAAGGATCGAAAAGTCGAAAAATCAAAAAAACTAAAAGTCGAAACATCGAAAAACTAAAAAACTGAAAAATCGGAAAATTGAATCTGAGAACTAAAATATTGAAGAATCGCAAATTGAAAATCGAAACTTGGAGAATCGAAAAGTTGAAAAATCGACAAAACGAGAAATTGAAATATCGAAAAACTGAAGAATTGAGGAATTGAAAAATCGAAAATTTGGAGAATTGAATAACTGAAAAATCGAGACATTTAAAGATTGAAAAATGAAAGGATAGAAAAACTGACAACTCAGGACATTGAAACATCGAAAAACTAAAAAACTGAAAAATCTGGAAATGAAGAATCGAATAATTGAACAATCAGAACACTGAAAAGTCGAAAAGTCAAAAAATCGAAAAATCTAAAAGTTGAAAACCTGAAAAATCGAAAAATTGAATCAGAAAATTGAAAAATAGAAACATTGAAGAATCGAAAATTGAAAATCGAAACTTGAAGCATCTAAAAGTCGAAAAATAGAAAAATCGAAAAACTGAAGAATTGAGGAATTGAAAAATCGAAAATTTGAAGATTCGAAAAACTAGAAAATCGAGAAATTGAAAAATTGAAAAATAAAAGGATACAAAAATTCACAAATCAAGACATTAAAACGTCGAAAAACTGAAAAATTGAAAAATCGGAAAATTGAAGAACCGAAAAATTGAAAAATCGGAACACTGAAAAGTGAAAAATCCAAAAGTCAAAAATCGGAAAAACTAAAAGTTGAAAAACTGAATAATCGAAAAATTAAACAATTGAAAAATTGAAAAATCCATAAACTAAAGAATCAAAAAATCTAAAAATTTAAAAAAGAGGATCTCGATAAATAGGAAAACTGAAAAAACTAAAAGATCGAAAAATTGAATCGAAAAACTGGAGAAGCGAAAAACTGAGGAATCGAACATTGAAGGATCGAAAACTGAAGAATCGAAAAGTAAAAAAATTGAAAAAACGAGAAATCGAAAAATGTAAACACAAGAATTGACGAATTGAAAAATTGAAAATCTGAACAATCGAAAAACTGGAAAATCGAGAAATTGGAAGACTGAGAAATGAAAGAATCGGAAAATTGAGAAATCAGGACATCGAAACATCGAAAAACTAAAAATTGAGATAAAAAGAAATGGAAAAGTCGATAAACTGAAGAACTGAAAAATTGAAGATTCGAAGAATATACATGAAGAGAAATCGAAGAGAAATGAGTAATTAAAAATTCGAAAAATAAAAAAAAATTATAAACTGGGGAATCAAAAATAAAAAAATTAAAACCCTGAAAAATCCAAGAGTGGAAAAATCAAAAACTCGAAAAGTTGAAAAACTTGAAAATTGGGAAATTGAAAAATTAAAATGTCCAAAATTTGAAAATTTGAAAAAAGTGAAAACAAAAAATCGAAATTGCAAAAATTAAAAAATAGAAAAATTGAAAAGTTAGTGTGTGAAAAATTGAAAATACGAAAAAACAAAAATATGTAGAAACTTTCAAATCGGAATATTTTAAAATTTCGAAATTAAAAACCCAAAAATTGAACAAAAGAAAAAGAAGAAAAAATTGATTAACTGAAGAGTTCGAAATTAAGGAAATGAAATATTGTAAAATTGAAAAATTAAAAATAAAAAAATTGAAAATTTTTAAAAATGTAAAAATAAAAAATTGTAAAATGTAAAAATTAAAATTAGAAAAATTGGAAACAAAAATTGAAAGGTTCAAGAATTAAAAAATAGAAAAATCGAAAAACTGGAAAATCAAAATTTGCGAAATAGAAATCAAAAATGGAATAATTGAGAAACTGAAAAAGAAAAATTCTTAAAAAATCGGTGACCATCATTAAAAAAAATTCTCATGGTAGAGAATTAATAATGAATTAGCAAATTTTCATTTTTTCAATTTTACGAAATTTTACGATTGTTTTAACCTCGTGCGATTATGTTTCAACTCCAATCAATCTCTGTTCCATTATTAAAAAAAAAACTTTTAGCTCAACAATTACACGTATTTTGATTCGTAAAATTACAGAACCATCTGTGATTGACATAAACCGCCGCTTAAACTGATTTCATCTGCAGCAACTAATACAAAAAGAAGCCAAACAAAAAAACGCTTGTACTTTCACGAAGCGTATTTCTTCGAATGAAAAAAAATCTCACTTTTCCATCAAACTAAAATAACTCTGGTGGAAAACTGGTGTAAACAATTCTGATTACTTTTTTTGCCTTAACACAACACAATTTCCAACGCTACTTTTTATACAATTCAATTTTCGTGTCTACAAACTGTTATCCACATATGTTCGTACGTTTCAGACTCTCGAAAAGTAAAAATTTGAAGAGTCGATCCACATTTTTCCATGAATTATTTACAAACATGACAGATGGTAATAATTCTGCTGCGTGCTCGACGCCTAATGCTTGTAAACAAATATCTCTGAAATATGCGTTTGTCTTTGAGTTTTCAAAGATTTAGCAATAAATTCGCGATTTAGAAAATTAAACGTAGTAAGTCGAGGGAAAGATTCTTTTCTTCCCGCTGCACGTTTTACAATAAACCTCCCGGTCATCGTTTTTCCCCAATTTGCGAAAACCGGCTAATAACCCCGGAATGCGCTTCCGGCACCGGATTATACGTACGTGTAATGGTCGTAGCAGATTCCGGTGAAGCCACAGTCCATGATCGTACACGAGTCGGTCCTGACCGGCCCTCTGGCCACCTCGTACGTAATATTGAACCCATAAACATCCAGGAATCGATCCAGGACCCTCAAGTGCGCGCTGTCGATGCTATCTAGCTTCAAAGTGATCACTAAAAAATTCTGGAACGACTGCACCCATCGCACTTGAACCACATTAGTCTCGTTCACAGTATGAATTACTCGCCCGTCGAGCTGATAAGTCTTGTCGTAAACTTGATACTCCGTGAAGGACAGCCCTTCATGGACGTAGAGCTGCGTCAAGTAAACGACGATCGAGGTGTTGGGCGACGCCAAATTTTGCGCGTCGATAACCCATTCGCAGTGGATGGGAACGGGAAGTTCCGCGGGAAAACCCGGAGTCTGCAGGATGCCTCTGGCGGCGGTTAAAACGCCCCCGCAGCGCGGACGGCCGCCCGCCGCCGCCGCCATGACGAGCAGGAGCAGGAAGGTGCGCATCTTCGAAGGCTACAGGTGCATTGTGAGCTGGAAAAAAGAACGCTTTGAAATGGGTTTACTTCGAAATATGTATAAAAGTTAATGTTTTGGAGTAGTATTTATTCATAGGGGTTTTATGCAGAATTGAAAGTTAGATGAGTCTGGAAATGAATTTATTTTTTTGCGAAATAAATGAAAGAATTTATATTTTACCGGTGATACAGATTTGATGTACAATATTATTCTAGAGAATAAAAATTATCATAACCATTTTATTCTAAGAAAATAACACAAATCATCTCCGAAAATTTTTAATAACCAGCACCGTTTTTTGGATTTTGGGGGACTCTTCAGATTTCACGTTTTACGATTTTTCAGTTTTTAATTTTTTTTGAATTTTCAATTATTCAGTTTTTAGATTATTAGTATTTCGATCGCAATTTTTCAGTTTCGAAATTTTTGAATTTTCCATTTATTAATTCTTGGATTTTGTAGTTATTCAGTATTTGAATTTTTCGATTATACACTTTTAGTTTTATGATTTTACCATGTTTTTTTTGATTTTTCAAATTTGCGAATGTACAGCTTCTAATTCGGTTTTGAAATTTGTGAATTTTTCGGTTTTTATTTTCCTAATTTTTGAATTTTTAGTGTTTCGATCGAAGTTTTCTATTTTACAATTTTTCGGTTTGTGAATTTTTAATTTTTCGATTTTTCAGGATTTTTATTGAAATTTTTGGTTTTTTCAATTTTCCAATTTTTTAATTTTTGAGTTGTCGGATTTTTCAATTTTTCCATTTTCGATTTCTAGATACATATTTTAATTTTTCTTTTTTTGAATTTTGAAATTTTTTAGTTTTCCAATTCGGTGTTTTAAATTTCGATTTTTTATTTTTCGTTTTTCAAGTTTTAGCTATTGCAATTATTAACGATTCGATTTTGAAATGTTTAAACAATTTTTCAATTTTATAATTATTCGATTTGTCGATTTGGGGATTTTTAATTTTTCATTTTTTTGATCAATTTTCCTGTTTCTCAATTTGTAAATTTTATATTTTTCAGTTATTCAATATTTCAGTTTTGTAGTGTCATTTTTGGATTTTTCAATTTTTCGATTTTCAAAATTCTAGATGTTTTAAAGTTTTTCCTTTTTTCAATTTTTTTTAGACTTCTCGGTTTTTTAATTCTGCGATTTTTTATTTTTTCTCATTCTCAACTTTCGATTTTCAATTTTTACATTTTACAATTTTTCGACTTTGCAGTTTTACGATGCTTTAATTTTTCGTTTTTTCAAGTTTTTTTTTTGTGATAAACATTTTAGTTTTTCTTATTCAGGTTTTTAGATTTTTCATTTCCACAATTTTCAATTACTTGATTTTTTAATTTTTAAATTCTACTATTTTTCAATTTTTTCATTTTGGGTTTCTAGATACATATTTTAATTTTTTATTTTTCAATTTTTAAATCTTTCAGTTTTCCAATCCAGCAATTTTTTCCCCAAAATCGATTTTGAATTTTTACATTTTACAATTTCTCCATTTGTCAGATTCGATTTTACAATTTTTAGATTTTTTATTTTTCGTTTTTCAATTTTTAGATATTACAATTTTTAATGATTCGATTTTGATATTTTTGAATTTTTTGTTTTTTATTTCCCATTTTTTTGATTTTTTAGTGTTTCGAGTTTTTCTATTTTACGATTATTCGATTTTTCGATCTGGAGATTTTTAAGTTTTTATTTTTTCAATAAACTTTCCAGTTTCTCAATTTATAATTTTTATATTTTACAGTTTTTAAATTTTTTAGTTTTTTATTGCAATTTTTGAATTTTTCAATTTTTAGATTTTTAGATTTCCTGTTTTAGAATTTTTCTTTTTTGTATTTTTTTCGATTTCTTGATTTTCGAATTCTGCGATTTTTCATTTTTTCTTTCATCCAATTTTCATTTTATAGATATTTTAATTTTAAATGAAAATAATCCAAAATCTCTAAGTCTGCAATTTTTCAAAATTTCGGTTTGACTAAATTTGTTCTTTTTGTTAAAAAAAATGACAATTTAATAATTGAGAATATAAAAATAAATGAAAAATCGCAAAATTGAAGAATCTAAAAATTGAAAAATCGGAAAATTGAAATGAGCGAATCAAAATTGAAAACTCAATAATTTTGAAAATTAAAAAAGACAAATTGAAAATTTAAATTGAAAAAATGGAAATTTAAAATTGTCAAAAATTGGAAAATTGAAAAAAGTAAATTAAAATAGAAAAAATTGAAAAATCAAATGTTGAATTGAAAGATTTAAATGTTGAACCTCAAAAAATTGCAAATTTGTAAAATTTAAAAACTGAAAAATTGAAAATTTTGAAAACTGAGAAATTATAAAATTAAAGCAACGAAAAAATAAAGAATCGATAAACCAGAAAATCCAAAAGTTTCAGTTTTCCAATCCAGCAATTTTTTCCCCATTTATCGATTTTGAATTTTACATTTTACGATTTTTCCATTTTTCCGATTCGATTTTACAATTTTTAGATTTTTTATTTTTCGTTTTTCAATTATTAATAATTCGATTTTGATATTTTTGTATTTTTTGTTTTTTATTTTCCATTTTTTTGATTTTATAGTATTTCGAGTTTTTCTATTTTACGAGTATTCGATTTTTCCATCTGGGGATTTTTCATTTTTTATTTTTTCATTAAACTTTCCAGTTTCTCAATTTGTGATTTTTATATTTTACAATTTTTCAATTTTTTAGTTTTTTATTGCAATTTTTGGATTTTTCAATTTTAGGATTTTTAGATTTCCTGTTGTTTTAGAATTTTTCTTTTTTGTAGTTTTTTCGATTTCTTGATTTTCGAATTCAGCGATTTTTCATTTTTTCTTTCATCCAATTTTCATTCTATAGATATTTTAATTTTAAATGAAAATAATCCAAAATCTCTAATTCTGCAATTTTTCCAAATTTCGGTTTGGCTAAATTTGTTCTTTTTGTTAAAAAAAAATCACAATTTAATAATCGAGAATACAAAAATAAAAATCGCAAAATTGAAAAATCGGAAAAATATAAAATGTAAAAATTGAAAAATTGGAAAATTGCGAAATTGTAAAACTGAATGAATAATCGAAAAATTACAAAATTGTAAAATTAAAATTGAAAACTTGCAAATCGAAGAATTGAAGAAATGAGCGAATCAAAATTGAACAATCAAAATTAAAAAAGACAAATTGAAAATTTAAATTGGAAAAATGGAAATTTAAAATTTTCAAAAAAGAAAAAATTGAAAAATCAAATGTTGAATTGAAAGATGTAAAAGCTGAATCTCAAAAAATTGTAAAATTGTAAAATTTAAGAACTGAAAAATTAAAAATTTTGAAAACTGTCTATAAAATTAAAGCAACGAAAAAACGAAGAATCGATAAATGAGAAAATCCAAAAGTTAAAAAATTGAGAAATTAAAAGTCGAGACATAACATTGAAATTGAAGAAACTGCAATATTCTGAACTTCAAAATAGATGAATTAAATGAATTAAGTTAAAAAATTAAAAAATCAAAAATTGGAAATTCGAAAATTGCAAATGGAATAACCGAAGAAACGGAAAAATTGAAAAAAAGGTAAAATTCAAAAATCAAAAAATTGAAAATTGTAAAATTAAAAATCGGAAAACTGAAATATCGAAATATGGAAAAATTTAAAAATTGTAAAATCGTGACATTGAAGAACGAAACATAATTTAATAAAAATTAAAAAACTGAATGAATAATCGAAAATTGACCAAATTGTAAAATTAAAATCGAAAACTTGCAAATCGAAAAGTTGAAGAAAGGAAAAATTGCAAAATTGTAAAACTGAAAAATGCAAACGTTGAAAAAATAAAAAATTAAAGACCATGACATTAAAAGTAAAAAAAGAAAAGGCGACAAACTGAGGAACTGAATATTTGCAGAATCGTAAAATTAAAAATAGAAATTGTTTTAAAGATCAAAAATAGGAAAATTAAAATTTAAACTGAAATTTTGCAAATCTAGACTAAAGAAACCAGAAATAGTAACAAGTAGTGAAATCACTTCATGCATAAGTTTCTTAAGAATTTTTAAAGTAATTTTTGTTTTAGTAATTTATTATCCCGGCGCCTCCACGATTTTTAACAAAAATTTAAATTTAGTCAAAAAGGTCGGAAGATGGGTCATTTTTGTCGGATTTTTTTTCAAAATTATGAATCTAGATCAATTTTGCCTGTTTTCCAAAAAACAAAAATACACGGGGGTTAAAGCTCGAGTGTAACGACGTTTGACTACCGATAATTCAGCGCTCTGCACGTTAATTATAAATAAACTCGACAACGCCTCGAGCTCAAAAACAATATGCTCAAGCGAACTTTAACACTAAAACTTCCACGCCAACACACGTTTATCTTGGCGGCCGATAAAACTACAAGACCTATAAATCAAATAATAAATTAAAATTAGCATACTAAAAGATAATAGAGCTATGTCCTAAACAAACCAAAGTTGTATTTGGAGGGCAAACCGGGTCAAGCAGCTTAGATTAATTATGTGCGGCCCCCGCAATTAGCGTTTCTTCTAAAAACACAAGCAGTAAATTAACTTTTACAGTAACAAACAAGCCGATAATCTGGCGCAACGCTAAAACACAACTGGAAGAATTCTATCTGTAAGTATTAATTTTGTTGTGATATCTCTGGGGTGAGATACAAACTTCTGAACAAGCAACTGATAAAATAAGTTTTAATCGTCAAACATTTGTCCGGAAGACAACATGAGGAAGAAGCAAAACGGACGTCTACTACAACGAAATTTATTTTGCGCTCCCTCAAGACCACAAACTCGGGGAATAAATCATAAATAATAATTGGAAAAATACACATTGAAAATAATTTTACTATGCGAGGGTCAGCCGAGTCGCAAAAGTTTACGAACAAATCAATAGCGCGGGCTCTCAAGCATGGAATTTAAATTTACTTTCTTTAGCGGAGAAACGAACCATAATAACCAAGATTTAAATTTGATTGAGTGAATGTGTACTCT